ACGTGACAGTAAAGCTAAAGAAAAGTCAGTCTAAACAAATATCACATTTAGGAGCGAATGTATTTTTGCCCCTCACTCAAAATGCTTCAAGATGCAACTGTCCTTGTTTGGAAGCATTCATCACACCTGACAGCAATGTCTCCATTCAGACAACCTCATGATGACCTATTGAGACCATGGAAGGTGGGTTCTACTGCCTCACCTGCCAAAAGAGGACGGTATCTGCTTTTTATGCCTTTCAGAGAAGTATCTTAATGATTTTAATAGTGGTTCCAGCACAGGCAGTCTCCTTCCTGCTTAGTGATGCTAATTTATTCTGTACTCCTAATTAGCCACCCAAGCAGGATTGGCCACTTAAGGACCCCTTCTCTGGATGACAATTGACTTATGTTGTTCTCCACCTCATGCACTAGAACATCTCCATCCTTGAAGCTATTCAAACTTTGGCTGGGCCCTGAGCAACCTGATTGACATTGCCTACATGTGTTAAGCTCATTGCTCCCTGCTGCAAGCATCCCCACTGAAACGTTCCTTGTGGTGCTGGTGGGGAGAAGCTGTGGGGGTCACACCAGTGAACATAGAATCATAGAATCATAGAATGGTTTGGGTTGGAAGGGTCCATAAAGATCATCTGGTTCCAACCATGAGGAGCATCTATGCACAAAGTGCCATTGGAGAAGAGCAGAGGATAGAGGGTCACCACCAACGGTGGGTGTTGAGAAGTCACCCCACAGTGCGTTCCCACAACACATCTCCATGTCCCACCTCACCGGCAGTGGAGCACATCCGACTCCAGCTGTGCTGACGCCAGCAGCTTCGGCTGAGGTGGCTGTGGGATGACAACCCCTGACAAAGCCAAGGACCATCTCAACCTGCCACTGCACCTTGATAAATTAACAAATACCAAAACGCCAAAGCACTTTTTGTGGTATAACCTATCTCATTCAGGAAGCCAATGTAAACCAGTGCTCCCAGCCTGAACCACGGAACCCCCCTTACCCCATCCCTCGCAGATGCGGACAGGCCACAGATCAGCTCAGCTTTGGTGCTGTGAGAGTTGCAAAAAGCTCCGTCGAGTTGATTTGACCATATCTACGAGAGGCAAAACTAGTTTTGTTAAACAGCCCGGCCTTAACCCGGCCTTGCTTATTTGCTCAGCAGCTGTTGGCTAAACCTTTTGTACTTACGAGAACAAAACCCTCCGCTATGCAGCACTTCAAGGATCAGACTTGAGCCCTGATCCTAAACTTTTCGTCATGCACGTTTTTAGAACAAAGTACCTTCTTTCTGCTTCGGATTTAAGCATGCGTGTTCCTCTTTCCACTTTTCTTTTTAAAAAGAAAAGAAGAGGGAAGGGGGGTTTGTGGTTTGGGGTTTTTCTGTTGTTGAGAACAAACAAAAGCAGATTATCATTCCAGCTCGGAAAAGAAAGTATTTTCCTTTTGAATTTTATTTGCCTTTTCAAAAGGCCCTTTTCTTTTTATTTAAAAAATACCTTTTGTTATTCTCTAATCGGAGTGGAAAAAAAAATGATAGCTAGCACATAACAAAGTGCTGATTAACATAAGTTATTCTCATCTGGTTTTTGGCTCATCTGAGCTGAAGTGACTTTTCCCACGTTGTTTATTTGATTATGACACATTGGCCCTCACACCTACCAACTAAGCCTCTCGCCTTCAACATCCACAGGAAGAGAAGGGCGACACTTGAGACAGCTGAACATCTGCAAGTGTCATTTCGTATTTCAGAGCACTTTTGGCAAGCTCTGTCTGCAAAGTCTGCATCCCCAAAGATGCAGAAGAGGTTTCCAAGTCAGAAATGTCCCAATACCTGACTGCTGGGCAAAAACCTGCCGACCCCGAGCAGTCACCCTCCGTCCCAGGGCTCTGCTGTGCACCCCGGGGCAGGACCTTGCCCATCGCCCCAGGAGCTGCCCAGCACTTGGCGTAACTCGTGTTTTTCTGCAAAGCAACGCTGCAAAGGTCAAGGAGCCTCCCAGAGGGGAAGGGTATGCACGGATATCACCTTGCACGCACAAGCTCTGCTCATTTCCTTTCTCCTTATCCATCACAAAACCAATTTTGGATTTACAGCATCAAAATCTTTTTCACTCACAGAACAGAAGCAGCTCAGTTAACCTCTGCAGGTCTCTGTGTCGTGGCCTCTGGGACCAAGCTCATGAACATAATATGAGCCTTCTCCTCCTCTCTGGTCAGCTACTCTGCAAAGGTCCCAGGTGCTCCCTGCCCTCCTCGTAGAGATACGGAGCCTCTTCCTATGCCACCGCCTGCCCAGGAATCACAACACTGTACTTGTACTCGAAATAAATCAACGTTTAATATTTTACAATTACCTTAAAAGTTCTTGGAACGGTATTTTACAAATCAGCACAGACTTTACATAGATTTGGTGAGGCTGCACATATGTACAAGGATGACCTGAAAGAACCTCGGACTTCTTTCATTTCCAGAAAGCATCAGAGGTCAAAACCTTAGCCAGGATTCCGAGTGCCTAGAGTTCGTGCTTGTTTTTCTCCATGAGATGGAGAGTCTCTTCTCTAGTATTTCTGTAGGGCCAGCTGAAACCAAAGAGGTTTATACCATTAACAGCGGCAGGTACATATTCAGCTGCAGATAGCAAGGTCACAATAGCAATGTTTCGACAGGATAAGGTGCTATTTTAAAGTATTGGACAAAAAACCCAGCTGTCACATTCAGCCCCACGTGAGAAGGTGCACACAAACCTGGGTGGAAATGAAAAGTCAGTGGGATAACTTTTTCCAAGTGCGTTGGAAGAGCTATTAAAATCTGTTTCTGATCCCTGGAGCCTCTTGGACTTAAAATACCGATGTGCAGAAGTGCCCAGCAGCGACCTCAGCACGTTCCCACGTCGCCCCTCTCGCACCCTGTGAGAGACGGGACAGCCCACCACGACTTGGCAGTGTCTTGGTGCCTCTGTTGAGTCTGTGCAGCGAGCAAGGGATGGACACTGCTCCACGCACATCGGAAAAGATGGGTGTTCCCGGAGTCAGTGCGCGGCCAGGGAAGGTGGGTCCTTGCTGGGAGTCCAAGCTGGCTTTGCATCATGGTGGAGCCAGAGTGCCTATATATGTTCAAGTGATGCTTTTCCCTGCACAAGGATCTTTTCTTGGGAGTCCACAAGACAACACCATCCTTGGGATGGTTTATTCAAGTAAAAGGATGAAGCGCAGAGGCCTCAGGAGCATGTTCACGCCTTGTTTTTGCTCATCTCTGGCCATTGACAGAAGCTGCATCCAGAGCTGCTGAGGACACCAAAGAGCCAGCTGGTACCTTCTTAACCTGAGATGTTCACCACGGGGCCCAGTTCAAGATGTCCGCACACAACAGAGGCACTGGGGCCAGGATCAGAGTTGCCAGCACAGGAAGGATTCTCAAAATGCTTCCAGGAGGGATGTGGAAGAATCCAGCAGACAAGCCTGACCCATTTTCCCCTGAGACAACTAAAGCTCCCAGGGGCTCTGGCCCTTTTCCTGGCAGATTTAACCTCAAATGACACAGCTGCTGTGCCACCAGCGCTTGGGGACAGAGCCCAGCCTTGTTCTAACTAGTGCTAAGAGCTGACCAAGTCCCATTTTCTGGAGGATCAAGGGACCCACAATGAACTGATCACACTGTGGCTGGGCCCTGCAGCCCCCCAGCAGTATTGAGGGTCCTTTCCAGACATTTCCCAGGGAGCACATGTCCTCGGCATTATGATCCTTTTAGCCTGCAGCAGGCAGCGTGCTCTTCTGCCCGTTACCGTTAGTGCAATCACCAAAAACTGCCAAGAAACAGCTTGAGGGCTACGTAACCAGGCGAGGCTTCTCCAGTCTCATTTTTTCCTCCCAGGGTCAACATACCTCTAAATACCCCCAAGTATTGCACCTTCCTGTACCTACGGCCTTGCAGAGAGAAGGAAGAAGACATAAAGTCTCTTTGCAGGGGAGGGGAGATCTCAAATCCTATCATCACTGGCGAGTGTCACTAGTGTTTCTGGTGCTAGGTCGTTCTCTAGCAAAGCTGCTTCTTCAGGGGAGCTGAAGCCAATCCTGTGGTTTCCCTAGTACTTCCCTCCCTCCTATGAGTTTGAGCATGGTTCCTGCCATCTTTCAAGCAACTATTGAGGATTCAGCCTCTGGGATGTCTCCAGCGCGCAGTGCTGGGGAGCAGGATGCAAGGGCATGGGCTGAACAGGGATACATCTCCCAGGTGGACTCTGAAATTCCACAGAAATTGGAGGTTCACCTCCTGCAGGCCTTAGGTTTACAGTAAATGCCAGCTGTCCATGCCCTGGTGCGACCTATTCCACTCAGTTCACTGAACACAAGCAGAAGCCTACAACCCGTGCTGGGCTCTTTCTGGGCCTCAGCTGGGCAGCTCTGCTCTGCACTGCTTCTCTGCAAGACACTCAACCTTCACAATTTAAAAGCAACTCTGAGAAAGCCTATCCCAATCCTCAAAGAACTATCCTGAGCATCCCGGGCCTGTTACAGATGAAATGCCACCAGGACATCGGCTGGGCGCTCTGCAACTCTACCTGCATGGAAGGCCACCTACCACCACTCAGCCAAGGACATTAATTTTCTAAAATATCTCCCCGTGAGCTCCCCCCATATCACAGTGGCCTTGCAGTCGCTGTCAAATACAGCCACAGTACCATTTGCTGGCAGGAGAATACTGTCCTTGCCTTGCCTTCTCAATCTGGGTGTTGGCAGTCTGCT